GCTACCACGGTTAAGACAGAGACAGGGAGGGGAAGAGGAGGGAATGGAGGGACGAAGGCTGGCTGGCCAGTCGCTGGGAGTCGGCCTGTGGTGACGGCCAGAAGGGGCCTCCGTCTTCCAGAACTAGTTGCCCTCCTGTGAGTCCTGTTTGCACAAATGATACAGGTGCTAGCACCTCCAGTCCCTCGGGCAGCTGAGACATGGAGCAGTGCGTGGAGAGGGGTGATGCTTTCCGTGGTCTGTGTGGCTGTGTGGTGGTCAGGGCTGTCTGCACCTGGCCGTCCAAGCAGGGTTGCTTTCTTCATCCTCCGGGTGCTTCCTAGCGTAATGAGTGAACAGCCTCCTCCTTTGAACACATTTCCTGAGCCCCCGGTGAGCCAGTCTCTGTCAGGTGCTGGCTGCTCCTGGTGAGGAAGACTGACTCCTGCCTGGGTGTGTCGAGGGGTGGGTCCCCATTCCATTGCTTTGAATACTAGATACGGAGGTGCTGAGAAGTGTGCTGTGTTCTCTCTCCTGCTACTTCTGTCGCAGATGAGGTGCCCGTGTGCCCTCGGGGCTGTCCTGTCCTGTTCTCTCGGTCCTGTCAGCAGTCTCCTGTCTGTCCCCACTCCAGCTGCACCCTGTCGCCCTTACGAGCTTTTACCCATCCACCCTGTTCCTCTTTGAGAGCACGGCCAACCTCTGTCCTTATTTCCAAACAGATTTAAATTAGTTTATTGAAGCCCATCAAACACCAGTAAACGCCCCCTGGATCTTCATTGAGGCTGAAAGAAGGGATGTGTTTGCGGAGAATCGAATATCATGGTCCACGAATATAGTATGTTTGATGGTGGTTGTGTTTTTTAATATCTTCTGGCATTTCCAACGCCCCAATTAAAGGTTTGTGTAGCCACCTGGAACTAGTTGTCCCCATGCCCTCCTCCCCTGCACGTCTGAGTCGGGGTAACCCCGTCCCTCGCTCTGACACACCCCACACTGCATGTGGGAAGGGCCCCTCTGGGTGGGCTGCTCTTCTCCATCCAGCCTCAGGGTAGAGAGGGCAGTCGGGGGTGGGCTGTCCTCCTGGAAGTTGGGAGGAGAAAGGGGAGGTTGATGTACAGGGTGGCCACTGATTCTGAGAGCATGCATATGTAACAAGTGACATGCTGATACTGTGTTGCATTAGGTGATAAAATAATGTACATGTCTTTCCAAACACGACCATCCTGTGTAGCCAGATCTCTCAGGAAGTCCTCTGCTGTTATAAGAAACCTGTGTCAGAGTGGCCACAACCCACGATTGTCTCACAGGAGAAGAAAGGACGAAACTCATGTTTACTGCTGGAAACCAGAGCTCGGTGGGGAGCCTTAACTTCCTAGAGAGGCTGAGAGGGCGGGGCAGCGCGTAGGCTGCCGGCTTGGTTCTCCAGAGAATGCCCCTCCCGCATTCTGTTTCTGCATGAGACTGACCTTCGGGGGCGTTATTACCGAAACAGGTTTATTTGACCCGAAACTTGGCTGTTCTGGGCTCTTGGTCCCTGTGCTACCGCCTTCCCCACCCCTCCCCCCGAGGGCTTGTACTGAATGAATGAGTGAATGAATAAAGACTTGGTACCAGGGGAAAATATGAACGTTTGTTCCAGAAATATTTATGGAGAATGCACTATCTGCTGGACCCTGGAGGTACGCAGATAAAAAGCAAGGATCTGTCCTCGGAGCCTCCAGCATTCCTCGGTAGGTTTGTCCGCATTTCTAACAGACAGCCCCAGTGGCCACCAATGGCGGCAGTGTTTCTTCTTTACAGCCCTCCTCCAGCACGGTGCCCACAGCCTGCAGCCCAACATGGAACAAGTGGCAACAGGGCGCCTGTATTGTGAGCCTCAGAGGGAAACCTACCAGATTAGGGAAGTTGCTTCTGGTCCTAGTTTGCTAATGAAGAAAGAAATCATGATTGGGTGTTGAATGTTATTCAATGCTTTCTTCTTACATCTTGGAGATGATCATAATTTAAGGACTTCTCACATTTGATTTTTAAAACATAAGTCCATTTTGTTGATATAATTACCTACGGCAAAACGTGTCCCTTAGAAGCGTATGATTAGGTGAGCCTTAAAAAATGTGTACACTCATGTAATGATCGTGTGACAGTCAAGGTGCAGAGCATTCCAAAGAGCCCAGAGCTTTTTTATGCCCGTTACCAGTGAACCCACCCCACGGCAGCCACTGAAGTGCCTTCTGTCCACGCAGATTAGTTTTTGCCTATCAGAAAATTTCATAGAAATGGGATCATGCAGTATGTACTGCTTTATATCTGGCTTCTTTCCCTGACCTTGTTTTTAAGATACAATCATCATGTTGGCTGTGCCAGAAACTCGTCAGTAGAATAAGAGTATCCTATTGTAATGTCGTACCGTCATTTGTCCACCAGTGGATGGGCACTTGAGTTGTTTCCAGTCCGGGGCTATTGTAAATATTTGCATACAAGTGTTGATGTGGTTATGTGTTTTTGTCTCTCTTGTGTAATTATCAGGCATTGCTAGATGGACGGCCTGTATACACTGAGCTTTGTAAGAAATGGCAAAACTTTCTCCCCCTAAGTGGCTGTGTCATTTAACATTCCCAGCGGCAGTGGGATAAGCGTTAAGGACCCATGTGCCCCTTCACCCGCCCTTGGTTTGCAGCGCATGTAATGTTCGCCATTCCAGTGCGTGTGTTTTGTTTTGTGGTTTTATTAGCATCTCCCTAATGACTAATGATGAGCATCTTTTCATGTGTTTATTGGCCACTTGGGTATCTGCTTTTTGCAAAGTGTCTGTTCAAATCTTTTACCCGTTTTTTTAAAAGTTGGGCTGGGTGTGTTCCTGAGTTGTAGGAATTTCTTTTATATATTATGCATGCAAGTCCTCTGTCAGATATATGTGTTTTTTAAAGATATTTTCTCCCAGTGAGTGGCTTGCCTTTTTCCCTTTTCATACAGTATCTTTTAAAGAAGAAACATTTTTAATTTCGAGGAAGCCCTATTATTGTTTTCTTTTACAATTGATACTGTTTATGGTCTAAAAAACCTTCATCTATCTCAGGGTTCATAAAGATTTCTCTCTCTCTCTCTCTCTCTCTCTCTCTCTCGCTCTCGCTCTCGCTCTCGCTCTCGCTCTCTTTTTTTTTTTTTGCAGAAGTTCCATGGCTTTAGCTTTTACTTTAAGTCTGTAATTTGTTTCACATCAATTACTTGTATCATCTTAAACCCAACCTTTCATTCTTGGTGTCTGCCCAATGTTAACACATTGTATTATTTTCAACATGTTGCTGGATTCTGTTTGTTAATACAGTAAAACCTTGGATTGCGAATAACTTGGTTTGCAAGTGTTCCGCAAGACAAGCAAACATTCCTAATACATTTTAACTTGGTAAACGAGTGATGTCTTGCAATACGAGTAGTTTGTTTCTGGAACGAATTATGCTCGCAAACCAAGGTGTGACTGTATTTTGTTTCTTCATCTGTGTTTATGATTAAGGTTGGCCCATGGTCACTGTCAGGTTTCAAGATCAAAGTTTTGCCAGCCTCTTAAATGAGTTGGGGCGTATGCCCTGTTAATTCTGTTCACGGTAAATTTGAGTTTAGTTGGATGATTTGTCCTTTGAATGTGGGTGGAGCTCCCCAGTAGAGCCATCTGGACCTTAATCTGATGGTAAAGTCTTGACCGTGAAAATGGGGTGCCTGAATCTTGGGGAGCAATGGTCTGGAGGTAGCATGTCCAAGGTACCCAGAGTAGCATGTGGAGATGCAGGTGAAAGTGTGCCCTGCCTGCTGGGTGGGGACAGCAGAGACGGAGGTCTTTGGGATGTTACGCCTGCCGGGGCTGTGATCTGCCCGTCAGTGTCGGAGGCCTGGTGCATTCTTGGTGGCCCCTTCAAAGATGTTTCAAGAGGCTCCGTCTGGCCCAGGGCCTCCCAAGCAGTGGGTGTTTGGGGCAGGATTGGCTGGACCCCTAGAGACTCGCCTCCTGTGACTAGCACAATGGAGGGCCTCCTGGACGAAGCCAGTTTGAGTACGAAAGCCTGCTAAGGCCAGCTCTCCTCAGATTCTGGGAAAGGAATGGAATGAATTTCTGATTCTTGCTTCCTGAACGATGCCCCGGAGGGAAACCCTCACGGCAGAGCCGGGCTGTCTGTCAGATGTCCTTCCCCTCCCCGCTGTGTCCCTGCTGTAAGGCCCATGCCCGCCTTTTTCCCACATCCCGCGAGCTGCCGTTTCCTGGTCATGACTGAGATTTCGAGCCTGTTAGCCAGCTTGCTGTGGCTCCTCCGTGTGTTTCCCTTACGAGGACCTGGGGACCGGGCAGGCATGGTGGCCTTTCCTGTCTGTACCTCCGTAGGCACTGGGTGTAAGAGGGGTCTGGTGTTTGGTGAGTGGAAGTGGAATGCCTCAGCCCCAACCCTCACCCCGGAATGCTGACAGAGATGTGCCCCGTGGGCTCTCAGAACGGAGACATGCAGGGCTGGGCGGTGGCGTGCCCGCCCCAGCCTCCATGCCGCAGGACAGCCGAGCAGTCCCTGGTCATCCACAGAGTGCTTCTTTCTGTGCCTGGGCTGAGGGGCAGGCCAGGGGCACCGGGGCAGCTGCAGCCCCCGCAGTGCCCTGGAGCGCAGACGCAAGTTCCTTTGTGCTCGTCGGGCGTGTGCCGCTGTAATGCCTGAGGGACAGACAGCACCCAGGCTGAGTGGCACACAGTGCACGTTGGGCACTCATGGCCCTTCAGGTGGGCTGGGGGTTGACTGGCCCGGCTGGGTCAGGCTAGACTTGGGCTTTGAGTCAAGTACAGGGTCTTTGTTTTGGAGCCCAGACTGAAAGGACAGTGAAGGTTCTAGTTTAATTCTTTACAGAAGAAAGTTGGAGGTCATGTTACGAAAGGGAGCCACAGCTCTTATAAAATCGCTTATAAACCAGCGTCAGAAGGATGGTCCTCATGCGTCATTTCTCTGATTTTACTGACATTTTGCTCGAATTCTGTCTTGTTTCAGGGAAATAGTGGAACATATGGTCCAGCACTTTAAAACACAGATCTTTGGGGACCGGAAGCCAGTGTTTGATGGAAGAAAGAACCTCTACACAGCGATGCCTCTTCCAATCGGAAGGGAGAAGGTGAGTTCAGAGGCGGGCATGGACCACACCGGGTGACAAAGGTCATTCATTGCTCCTGGCCATCCCACCTGAGAGGGGAGGGCCCAAGTTGGCTCTGCACTTCCTCCTGAGACCCCCGAGGACTGCCTTCCGTGTGCCGTGGTCTCCCGTGGTAGAGGGTTCAGTTGTCTGCGTCCACAGAGTTGAGAACATCTTGAAACCAGTGAACTTTTAAATGTAAAACACGGGCCACGAACCAGCACCAGACGGGAACCTGGATCACCCTACGGGACTGACTGTAGAGCTAAGGAAACGCGTGTCCGCCTAAGTGTAGGCGTGCGTGACAGTGGCAGTGAAACAGCTAATAATCGGCTGTAGCCAGTGATTCATCTGAAATAAGAGTCATGACAGCCAGTCAGCTCGGGAGTAGTGGTTATATTAAAGTGTCACCTTTTCTTACTGTCTTTATCCTTATCGTGGCTTCATTTAAAAAGTAATAAAATTTCTGCCTAGAAGTTGTCACCTCTTGGCACATCTTGCAACGAACGGGCTGCTCCAGGGTGATCATGGGCGTTGTTTCTAAGTAGGAGAAGAGCAAGGACTCAGCTCAGCAGTATTTTTACACAAACTTACACAAAAAAAGTAACTTAACTATCCCAACGAGAACAGGAAAGCTCGTCCCCTTTGAGAACAACCACACAATTAGCCCCTGAAGCCCCGCTGGAGCCCCGAGAAGGCGCAGAGCTCAGAGCTCAGAGGGTCTCACCCTGTTGTCCAGGGGCCTGTATGTTCTCTGCAGGCATCACTTTTTTCTTTTTTCTTTTTTTCTTTTTTTGCTTTTGCATTTTAATAATAATCTTTAAAGACTAAGCTCCTTTCGCCTGCCTGGATGGCAGGCAGGCTGGCTTGGAATTGCGGGGACCTGATAAGAGTGGAGGACGTTAGGGCTGAGGGAAGGCCGGTGCTGATAAGGGCTGTGTGCTGAAGGGTCTCTCGGTGATTCTCAGAGATAGCACTGGCACACGGCTGGGCACGGCCTGGCACAGGGCGATGGACGTTGGTGTTCAGAATTGGACGGAGTGCCAGGACCCTACCTGTCAGCTGAGTAGGCTCGCCCCTTGCAAATGAGCACGCTGTGCATTTGAAAGTTATTGATTATAAAGCTTTGTGACTAAATTTGCACATTTGTTTTTGTTTGAAGTTGTGTAAGAAAGAAACGCATAAGGAGTTTATTCACTGTTTGGTCTGTGCGTGTTGACACTCAGACACCAGGAGGGCACAGGAACATTTTCCCTTGGGGGTGGTGGGGGCGTCGCTGCGGTGTGCACGTTTGCAACACATCCTAGTAGAAGTTAACAGCACAGCTCCGGGTTCACCTTGGACCTGACTGAGACCTTGCTTCGTCCTTACTCCTGGTGGGACCTTGGGCAGCCCACCTCACCTTGCCAACCTCAGCTGTCACACCTGTAAGAGGGGAGGTGCATAGAAACGACCTTGCGGGGCCTTGTGCAAGTCGAATGAGCGAATGCACCCCAAGAAGAGAGCTTTCCGCGTTATGTGCTTCCGCTGCCCTGGGTCCCTGCTAACCACAAGTGCTGTTCAGCGTCCACATCTCTAACCAGCTCCCACAACCCACTGCTGGTCCCAAATCAATGAGCTGTCAGGGTCTAACGTGCTTAATTACACCTGGGACATGGTGCGTACTGAGCAGGTACTACTGGTTACCGTCCGCTAAGGGATCTTGTGTCATCCTAACCCACACGTCCCCAGGGGTCCAATGCCAGCGATGGCCCTCCATATCTACTGCCCCATACCTCATGGGCGCTCAGTGTCCCTTAAGTTTAATCCCAACCATCCTTGTCCTGTTTTCAGGTGAGCTTCAAGAACCTACCCGAAGCTGCGGCGTTCGGTGAGCGTGGGGTCCCCTAATTTGCAGACCACTCCTGCCACTCATTGTTCAGGTTCTGTCACATATTCATGATATGCAGAAATGAATCGCTTCCCTCAGAGCTCAAATAAAACATTGCCCCTTTTCGGGCCTCATGCATTTGCATCTTGTAGCCAAGTGCCATCGTTTTTCTTTTTTCTTATGTTTGCTCATTTTTCTATAAAGTATTTTTCTTAATTTTTGTGGGCACTTCTGTAATAAAACAGAAAATCCTCTCATGTCATGCTCACCCCATGTCTGCTGGCGGCTGGATGGGGGCTGCAGGTGGCCTTGTCCAGGCTTCTGGGCAGCGTGTGTCCCGGGTTCCACAGCCCAGCTCTGTCACCTCCTCTTAATCTCTCCGACTGAAATCCGAGCCCACCCGCCTTAGCTCCAGCCCCTTGAGCACTGAAACACCACCAGGCCAGCCTCTCCCTTTTCAGAACCGGAGATGGAGAAAGTTGTCCAAGCTGCTCCCCGTTGGGATTTAACTCCAAGCTCAGTGTTAACAGTGACGCAATAGGACTGGCAGGGCTGGAATTCGTGTGGTCTGTCGTCCCTGATGCCAGGTCCAGCCCTACGCCTTCACATACTAGGACTGCGTGTTCCTGTAGCTGCAGCCCCCATCCACTCACTCAGGGAAGGCGCGAGCGGCTTAGAAGACAGCAGCACGTTAGGCCAGATCCACAAATCAAAGCAATAACAGCCCTTACGTGGAAGGCATCCAGCGCGGGGGATGTGGCCTCGCACGGAGCCCGTTCTTGCCACGCCTGTCTGCTCAGCCCTGGGGCTGGGATGTGGGGCATCAGGGCCCTCAGTGCAGTGACCTGCAGTGAGAGGTGTCGGCGATTCTGAGCCAGGCAGTGAAGCTTCTGCACTTGGAGGAGGTTTGAGGACTGGCTGGTGGGGGGCAGGGGCCGTCCTTGGGGTTCTCCCCCCAGGCACGTGCAGGTGGAGGGGCGGCTCTGATTTGGGCCCAACCTGCCGCCTTTCCAAGCTGAGGGTCCCTCCAGTGACACTGCGTTTGTCAAGGTGCCTCGAACCTAGCTGTCCAGGACGGAGGTGCTTGGCAAGTGTCACACCTAACAGAGCAGCCACTTCCTGTCTGTCCCTGCTGGTTTTACCTGCCAAGGGCGACTCCAAATTCCCAGCCCCATGCTGGGCGAGGCGGAGGTTTCTCTTCTTGGGTAATTTGGAAGGGCAGCTCTTCGCTTTCTGAGGAGATCCGTTGCTGTGCAAAGTCACAGGAAGCCTTCAACTCTCAGCTCCCTGTACCCATTTAAAACAAGATGTGACCTGCACGTCCCCTTGTGGAAAGGGCCCTTGGCAAGGAGCCCAGCCTGGGCCCCTGGGAGGCCGCGGCAGGGTCTGGATCCTCACGACCAGCCCCACGCTGAGTGTGGCAGCCCAGGGCCCTGCCAGCTCTGTCACTCCTTCCTCAGGAACAGATGGCAGTGAGTTATGGGGCCTTGGCCCGCACAGCAGCCAAGTTTTGGAGAAGAAACCCCAGTGGAGACGTGGCCGTTGCTCTGTGCTCTCCTGGTTGTATACAGTCTTTGTGTCCCTTACAATGTGGTTTCTCGTCTGCCTCCTAGCCGTGTGGTGGCACCAAACCAGGGTTCTTCCCATTGCAGTTCGAGTTCTGTCACCCTGGTGACTTCCACACAAAGCAAGTGGAGTGTGGCTGACGTCTTTCTGCAGAGATGGAACCTCACAGCTGTCTCACCATTTTCCAGGCTCTGGATCAGTGCTGTTAGCCGATATTTCGGTTGTCCATGTTCAGAAGATGGCACTTGCAGTGTTCTGGGGTCCCAGGCGCCCCTCTACGGGTGCTGGCGGCCTCGGTTGGCACAAACGTTCTGTGAGGAGGGCGGGCCATCCTCTTGTGCCATAAGTGCAAACGGAGAGCCCCGTGGAGCCGCCTGTCTGTGAGCAAGTCGTAGGAGATTACAGAGCTGGGAGCCCCGTGTCCTGGGGACCTCCTGTCAGTGCCCTTTGGCTGCTGCGTTACTGGGACCGAGAGCTTCAGGCTGTTCGGAGATTGAAGTATCTGTCTTGGTGTGTGGACTGGCACTGCTGCCAGCAGCCCAGACAGACATGCAGACCGTTCTCCACCTCACATCACAGCCAAAGCCCAGTGTCACCCTGCCACACAGTGTGACATTTCTGTTGAAATCTCCATTGTTCCTAAGCTATTAGATACCAGTCAGCCTCTCGAGACATCACGTCTGGCAGAGAACGTTTTAGAGCCTGGAGTTATTCTCTCCCCTTTGTACAGGGGCCAAGAGGAGGCTGGACTGGAGTCGATTGAAAAATACAAGGATCTTTTGCTGAAAGAAAGTGCACCCCTCCGAGTCCTCCCTCAGTTTACTTACAGAGGCATTTCTGAAGGATGATATTAACAAGCATCTAATTAGTACCAATTCCGAGCCATTCTCTTGCCGGCCGAGGGCTGCTGGGTAGAGGTGTGCCTACGGTGTAATTTGGAAATCCTCCTGGTGGTCGTTCTCCATCCACCTGTTTGCTGTCCTTGGCGTACCACCTCTGAATAGATGGGGCCACCAGTCCCCTCTGCTGCTCCATAGGGAAGCCCTCCCCTGACGCCAGCCCAGCCACGGGGCCACCGTCACATCCTTTTCTGGAGTCACGCTGTCCGAAGGGGACACTTGCCTCTTCGCTGCACATGACCTGCTGTAACTCGGTCAGCCTCCTGGGCCTCAGTTTCCCTAACTGGAAGTATGGGAGGGGCTGGGGTGTTGCGAATGATAGGTTACTGGGGGAAATACACAGTGCCTGCCAGCTTCTTATCACTATGTTAAACGCTAGGCTTCAGTTATTGCTTTTCTATGATGCATTTAAGTTTTTATTATGAAATACACACACACACACACACACACACACACAGTGCCAAAAAAATGTATACACATTTTAAGAAAGGAAAAAACTATTAATTGTAATAATATATATGGATAACAAAAGGTGAATACAAGTCACGTTGGACTTCTGCAATTACAAGAGGTGCTCAAAGTGGTTCCCATCAGCGTCCAGACACTTCTGATTACGGCAAACTCTCTTAAATGTGAGATTGCATCTCTTAAAATATGTATACATTTTGTTGGCACCCCCAGAATATGTATAAAACAGTAATAAATTCCATGTATCCACCGTCCAGGCCAAGATGTTCTATCCACCCTCCCCCAGCCCCCCCTTCCCTCGCCATGCTCCCCAGTTGCATGCCCTGTCCCTGCCCCTGCGGCCACTGTCCAGGTAACTCAGGTTAAGTTGACCCTTTGCTCTTCATTGGTCTTATCAGCTGTGCATGTGTCCCTAAAATATATTGTTTTGTTCTGAAGGGAATCCCACTGTAGTGCCCTTCTGTGTCCGTGTGGGCCTGTGTCTAAGCACCAGGCACAGGTAAAAGGGATGTGTCTACCTGGGCACAGGTGTGCAGGTGAGTTCCGTGCAGTCTGGCTGCTGCTCTAGTGATGGTCGGATGAGGTGGCCAGTGCGTGAGGGTGGGAGCGAGCATGTGCGGTCAAAATGATGACCAGTGCTCAGCGGCCACACGGGGCCAGTGGCTGCCATGCTGGGCAGCTCAGAAAGAGACCGTTTGCATTCTTACAGAAAGTTCTGTTGGACAGGGCTATTGTAGACTATCGTAGCGAATACTCTGAGGTTTGGCTCAGAATTTTAATTTCTTCCCAGATAATTCTGGTTGGTCTTCTTTGCCCTTTTGTGCCCGGCGACGCTGGTGCCACCGCCTTTCCTATACATGGTGGGGCACGACGGTCCTGCAGAACCGCTTCAGGAAACGTCCAGTGTGTGATGCCCCCACGGCCCACATCCTTCAAAGATGACCATTTCCCCGCATGTGGTCGTGAATTTGTTTAATCAGACAGAAAGGTTGAAGGGATTGTACGATGCACGCCCATCCAGGTTCCACAGTTGTTGGCGTTTTGCTGTTTGTTATTATGTGTCTATCCTGAGAACATTTTTTGTTCATGATTTAGTCTTTGCAAAACTAGCCTGTGGGTGCCTTCTTACGGGGCTGGGAAAACGGGATCCCCAGACCCCCAGCAAGCTGCCACCACCGCTGCCTCGGCCCTTCCTGAGAGGGGCCGACCCGACCCCCAAACCCCAACCTGAGCAGCAGCCACCCCTGTCTGGCGTTGCCTCCGTGGGGTGTGGTGTCTCGCCACCTGTCTCCTGCTGCCACTCGTGTGGGGTCAGGTACAGAGTCCACACTAGACGTGTGTGGAAGGGAGAAGTCCCCAGTCCTACCTGTTACTGCTGGTGGGTGTGAGGGCTGTGCACGTGCCCACACACGTGTGCTTGGAGAAAGGACTGAGTTTCCCTGACCCACCGCCTTCGACCTCCCAGTAGCTTCTTTAGACGGAAGCGTGAATAACCGTGTCCTCTGGGCCCCTCACAGGTGGAGCTGGAGGTCACGTTGCCAGGAGAAGGGAAGGACCGCATCTTCAAGGTGTCCATCAAGTGGGTGTCCTGTGTGAGCTTGCAGGCGTTACACGATGCACTTTCGGGGCGGCTGCCCAGCGTCCCCTTTGAGACGATCCAGGCCTTGGACGTGGTCATGAGGCACCTGCCGTCCATGAGGTGAGGACAGGAGAACCAACGGCATCTGCTGCCAACCCTGCGCGTTACCTGGAGAGTGTGAATCCTGTTCGAGGAAGAGCTGGTTTCCGGAGTCGGGGTGATGGTCATATGTGGGTCTCCATAATGAAAAGAATAGCAGTGCTGACGTGGGGGAAAGCTTAGTATAAAAATCAGTCACCAGAACTCAGCCCAGCACAGAAAGGCGACGTCCCGGCGTCGAGTGCACTGGTGCCACGAGCCCTGTTCTGTTTCTCGGCTGCCGTCATACCTGGGACTTGTGATAGTGGGACAATGTCCAGATTCTACAGGTGACAGAGCTCCCACCACGTGGAGGAGCCTCTCAGGACTGTGGGGAGCACCACGGAGGCTTCAGACTCTTGTTTTAGTCTGTGGGGTCACTTTCGTCCCACAAATCGCCACTCTTGAACTTGCTGGGATCAGAGGGTAGGTGATAGTCTGACAGATGGTGACACTCCAGTGGCTCAGAAGTTGTCTACTCAACTCACCCAGTACCGACTGGAACTCTGAGGTCTGAGGGGAGAGCGAGGTTTCCTTTGTCCTTTTGTGAGTGTAAGACAAGGTGACTTGAAGTGCTGTGCTACATTTTAAAGGGGACCTTGATGGTCTCAGTCGTCAGACTCGGGTGGGGCTAACCTGGTACAGGGAAGGCTGTCACTGCTGCCAGAGATTCTCCCCGCTTCTCCCTCTCCCCCCGCCCCGCCCCACGCCCAGCATCTAACCTGTCACAGCTTGGAACCATTGATGGGGGGAGGGTGGGTGGGCGCAAGAAAGAAAAACAAATCTAGAAGGGTAGTTGCCAAAACGTTGAGTACATTTTTTAAATGAGTGTCACAAATTATTGTGATTTTTATTTTCTGAATTCCTTTGACTGAATTACCATGTTACTTTTATAATCGGGGAAAGTCAACTTTCATTTTGGAAAAATAATAGAAAAAGAGGGGCAGGATTAACAGCCAAGGTCGGGGGAGTGCAAGCGCCGAGCGGCCAGTGCTGCCAGCAGGTGGATAAGGTCACCGCCCGACGTCTTCCCTTCGGGGTCCTAGTGGTGTCGCGTCCCGGCCACCAGGCACTGAGACGGGCCCTCTTGTTTCAGGTACACCCCCGTGGGCCGCTCCTTCTTTACCGCGTCCGAGGGCTGCTCCAACCCCCTGGGTGGGGGCCGAGAGGTGTGGTTCGGCTTCCATCAGTCCGTCCGGCCTTCTCTTTGGAAAATGATGCTGAATATTGACGGTAAGCAGAGCTCGGTCCTTTTTGCGGGGTGGGGTTGGGGGCTTCCTGAGCGGCCAAGACCTTGGGGAGGGCCCGAGTGGCCGGCTCCGAACACGGCCTGTGTCAGAGCCAGAGATGCCGTGAGGCCTTGCCTGGCCTGTGTCACCTGTGTCACGTCAGGGCGGTGGTCCTCGGATGGAGCAGCGAGCCGCCTGGGGTCTGGGCCTCTAACACGGTCCCCAGTGCTGGTGGTGTCCACTGGACACAAGTGGGTTTTCCTGGGGGTGGTGAGTGGACAGCCCACTGCCGGGTCCCCCTTGTCGCCCGTGTGTGTTCTCAGCCTGGCTGGTGCGACACAGGGTTGCTGATGAGGGGCCCGCCTGGCCTGTGGCCTTTGGCTCCTTCAGGTTGGTGGGGGTCGCTGCCCCTCTCGGGGGACTCACTTCCTGTCTGTGGCGGGTCACACAGGGAATGGTAAACCTCAGAGAGAGCTGAGCCACAGGGAGTCCGGGAAGCCAAGCCTCACGGTTATTGTGATCTGTAGGGTTTTTTTGGGTTTTTTTGAACCTAGTTTTCTCCTCAGAGGGTGACTTTAGACTTTACCAGCCCCTCGTGGTTGCCCCCCAGAGGGCATATCGGGCAGCCCTTGAACAGGCAGGAATCACCCCTGGCTCTGTCCCGCCCCCAAGGCAGGGCAGTGAGCACAGAGGCCAGGTGAGGGGGGCACCTGGAACCGCTGGTGGTCGGCCCCCATGTCACCCTTCCGCCTTTGTCTCTTTCTTTCCCGCCTCCAGTCTCAGCAACCGCGTTTTATAAGGCACAGCCAGTAATCGAGTTTGTTTGTGAAGTTTTGGATTTTAAAAGTATTGAAGAACAACAAAAACCTCTGACAGATTCCCAAAGGGTCAAGTTTACCAAAGAAATCAAAGGTAGGTAGCTGCTGGGGGCCCCCGAGGCCCTGCTGCACTGCCTGGGCTCTGGCTGCTGCGCGTGTGTCTGGGGGCAGAGGTGGCGGCAAAGTGACCATCAGTGAATCAGCTCGGAGATGGATTGTACCCATTTCACAGAGCAGGAGCAACAGTGTCCTAAGTGATTGACTATGTGCGGGGCGGGGGGCGGGTGGTGACCCAGCGATGTCCCTGTCGTTGAGGTCGGGACCAGAGAGCAGCAGCGTGATTCCAGTCAGTGTCTCAGTAGCTTCTAGAGTGGACATGCACCCCCGTACCTGCCGCACCCCCTCCGCCTGAGTGCCGCTGGGGCACACGCGGTGCAGGGTTCCGTGACTTGGCCCTCAGCGGAGAATTGGCGGGCAGCTGTCACTCTCTCCACAAGCCGCCACGGCCCTCTGCACCTGTCCTTTTCTGAGGGCGTCCTCAAGGCCCCAGCGGCACTCCTTGCTAAAAATAGCCCTGAAGGAGGGGGCACAGAGCTGGGGTAGCAGACGCCATCCCCCAGACGGAGCCCACTCGGTCCCCCTTCTCTTCAAGAGCGGTGTCCTGACCGTGACCTTAGCATTGCTGGGACAGAAGGCTTCCCTGTGGGTGATGTGGGTCCAGCCTCGGTGTCACCCTCCCCCAGCTGCCCCACAACACCCTGCCGTGGGCCTGGCAGCGCAATTCCCGTGAAAACCGGCCACGGGAAGCGGGGTTTGTGCTCCCGACCGGGTGGCTCTCGACGCTGAGCTGCGCTGTTCTGTGTCGCCAGGTCTGAAGGTGGAGATCACGCACTGCGGGCAGATGAAGAGGAAGTACCGCGTCTGCAACGTGACCCGGCGGCCCGCCAGCCACCAAACGTAACCGGCCTCCCCCCACTCTTGTCACTCTGACCCCCGCTGGCAGTTAGCGGCCCGACTCAGACCCAGTGACCCTTCCGGGAAGGATGACCGCATTCCAGTGTTACAATTCCGAAGCTACACCGTTAGCTCAGTAGATTCCAAATGTCACCTATGGAAATGCGATAAGGGGACCCCACCTGTGTTGGGGGGACGCCTCCCTGCTGGTTTTCCTTCCGGGGATGTTACCGGGCGAGAAGGGTCTGCCTTGTCCTCAATGCTGAGCAAGTGCTGGGGGGGGAGGGGTCAGGCACGAGTGCCGTGTGCTGGCCCCCAGCCCAGTGCAGTCGCTACCCTGGCCACAAGAATGGGTGCCGCCTCAGCTAGTGTGCGTTCACTGGGGGAGAAGTGAGATTTCACCCCTGTACCCCTTACCTGAAGGCCTCCTGGAACCAGTGAACACGCCTGCGTTTGTTTATTTCATGGTCATTCCGTGGACCAGGCCGGGTCTGTTGCTGGGCACTGACTGGGGACACAGGATGCACAGCACCTGTGCAGCAGGAGGACCGGACAAGCCTGCCTCCTTGTCCCGGTGCCTCCTCCCACCTACGGGGGTCGCCTGGCAGTCTGGGTGGTCCCGCCCGTGTGTGCAGGACACCACTGCGCTCTCCCATCCCTGCCCGCAGGCTCTTCCTGCCTCAGCCAATCCACGTGTGGCCGTGGGTGCCCGAGCAGACCCGGCTTGTCCCTTCCTTCATCCCGTCCTAGGAGGTGTCAGGTCCTCCGGGGCAGGCACTTGGCCCATTCAGCCGCGAACAACTTTCGTAGCCAGTCACGGCCCACAGTCAGCTGGGAAGTGCACAGAACTTCTTTCTGGATTTTTCTTCATTTGCCCCAAATCCCCTACGCACACTGTGGCTGCAGTGTGTCGTTTGTGGTTACTGCATGTTGTAGGCATGTAGGTATTTTTTATTTCCCAGCTGCCGAGCTAAAATGAAAGGTTAGGGACTCAGGAATATTCCAGGTCACCCAGAAGACATGCTTGGTTTGGGCTTCTGGGAGGGACTTTGAACATTTGCTCTGACCCATCACCCTGTGCCTTCTTCAGCCCTGAGAAAGCAGCCCCGGGTGAGCGGGTGTGTGCAGGGCTCAGCCGTCTGTCCCCGTGGGCCCTGGGCAGCTGCGGGCCTGAGCCAGCCCTTTGCTTTCCCAGATTCCCTCTGCAGCAAGAGAGCGGGCAGACGGTGGAGTGCACGGTGGCCCAGTACTTCAAGGACAGGCACAAGCTGGTTCTACGTTACCCCCACCTCCCGTGTTTACAAGTCGGACAGGAGCAGAAACACACCTACCTTCCCCTAGAGGCAAGTCCCACGTCTGGGGCGTCCCTGGGGGCTGCTCGGAAGACTTCACGGGCGGGGACCCCAATCGGCACCCTGGGTCTAAACTTTGTCATCCTGCCACTGTGGGACGTCGGCAGCCTAACAGACATCGTCGCACCTCAGTTTCCCTGTTCGTAAGATAGGATTCGTGGGAAGATGGAGAGCATGTATGTGTAATGTGCCCAGCAGGTCCCTGAGGAGAAAATGCTCAGATCATATTAACTTCTTTCTTGTCTAAAATTCACTTCTTGTTTGGAAAATCCTTGCCTGGGCGGAGCTCAGAGGCTGAAGCTGAGACATGAGTTTTCACTCTTTTCTGTTAGTATCTGAAGTTCTCGGTACTTGTTCCGTTACTCCAACACCTAGGGCCTTGGTCTGGTCTTGCCATGCCCGTTCTGGAAGGTAACTTCCTTCCTGTCGGCAGGCAGCTCTGTATTTCCACGCTCTGAGGACAGAGAGAATCCACGAAACCCAGCGACAGGACACAGCCGCCCATGTGGGTGGGTGACCTCGGAGGCTGCGCTTCCTTTTACAGTACGGGTTCCAGCGCGGGTTTGTGTCATGCTGGGTTTACTTAGGGCGGTTTTCTATCATCAGCCACAGGACCATTGAGCAGCTCTGCAGGCGTGCTGTTCCTAGTGGATCTCAGGGACCGCCGGTGTCTGTGTGACACGTCACAGTGAAGCATGAGGAATGGATGGGTATCGAGCAGAGCCAGCGCCCGGTCCCCCCGCACTGGTTCTCACGCCGTGTTTTTTGTACATCTTTGTAGGTCTGTAACATAGTGGCAGGACAGAGATGTATAAAAAAGTTGACCGACAATCAGACCTCAACCATGATCAGAGCGACTGCCAGGTCAGCGCCCGACCGGCAAGAAGAGATTAGCAAGCTGGTGAGCATCACGGCCCCGGGGCCAGTCCTAGGCGGGTGGGGACACCCTCGGGGAGCCAACAAAGGGTGTCCAGGGAACCCCCGATGCTTTGGACAGACGCGTCCTCTGGAAAGAAGCACAGATCGGCTCTGACTCGCTGCCTTTTCTCGCTTCCCTTTTCAAGATGAGAAGCGCGAGTTTTAACACAGACCCGTATGTCCGGGAATTTGGAATCATGGTCAAAGACGAGATGACAGATGTGACCGGGCGGGTCCTGCAGCCGCCCTCCATCCTCTACGGGGGCAGGGTACGTGCGCGGCTGGGCTGGGAGGGCACGTGGGGGTGTTCGAGTGTGTCTGCAAGTTGATGGCGGAGCGGCAGCACGCGACCCTCAGGTTGGGACCGTCCCAGAGGTGTAGACTCTGGTGCAGGTGAAGGATTGTTTCCGCTCTGGTCCGCGCCTGGCAGGGGTTGTGGGGCTTCATTGTGGGCTGTTTCCTTGGCCCTTTTTGAAGTTTTTCAGAATTCCCCTTTTTCTTTCAACAGGTAATTGTTATTACCCCATCAAACATTTTAAAAGCTTCCTTCTCTGTATGATGGGTACTCTGCCAGTGAATAATTATTGTCCAGAAGCTTACACTGCTTTCCTGTTGTTAATTTTGTTTTGGAGGTATTTGGTCTCAAGCATCGCAGTTAGTCACCTGGGCGTGTGCACGGTTTTGCCCATGAGCTCTCTAGCTTTAATCAGCATGTAATCAAAGGTGCCCTGAGCAGGGAGCCCTGCAGAGCTCAGGAGAAGTCCCGTACCTCCCCACCCCCTACCCCCAGCTGCTCCCTCCGGTGTAGAGCACAGCGTCCGGGCTGGGGGGGCAGGGCCTGGGGGGGTCTCGTCGGGGACAAGGTGGAAACAGCTTTCTACCTGACTTTACACCTTCTTACCTGATGGAATGTTACTCTCGTCCTCAGGACCTGTGGCTGCGTTTAGTTTAGTTCTGTTTGTAGGGTTTTTTCCTTTCATATTTTAAAATATAAGTTCTGGGGTTTTTTTAATGTTTCACAGTTTAAAAGGTACAAAAGAATCATAGGAAAAAGTCTATTTTTTTCCAGCTCTCCATTTCTCCCCAGGAAGCAATCAGTCTTCTGTTTCTCCTTTGTAAAATCCCAGAGGTGATTCACATGTTTTTTTCACCCCTTGTTATGCAAATAGCATGTTAAATACACTTCTGTGTCTTGCCTTTTTTGTTTGTTTAGTATTTTCTCTTAGAGCCCATAGGGATCGTAGAGATGGTTCCATGTATGTGTAACAGGCGGCTTGCTCCTTTTAACTGTTGCGTAATGTTCCTTTGTAGTGGTGTCTCATCCTGGTCAGTGGGCATGGAGGTAGTCCCCATCCATGCATCCATCCATCCACTCATCCACCCACTCATCCATCTTTCATTCACCCGTCCATCCATCTATTCATCCTACATCTATTCATCCATCCACCCACCCATCCATCCATCCATCCATCCATCCACTCATCCATCCATCCACCCATCCTGGGCCACCTGCAGTGCTAGGCAGTCAGAAATTGGAGACAACACAGGTGCAACTCTCGGCCTCAGGAACCACCATCTGCTCAGGGGGGCCAACAGCAATAGGGATGGTGACAAAATCCAAGGTCAGAGGAGTATGTCCCCCATTTTTGCTCACTCGAAGCGTCTTGCCATTTTCAGAACAAAGCGATCGCCACCCCTGTCCAGGGCGTCTGGGACATGCGGAACAAGCAGTTTCACACGGGCATTGAGATCAAGGTGTGGGCCATCGCCTGCTTCGCGCCCCAGCGCCAGTGCACGGAGGTCCACCTCAAGTAAGGCCACTCACAGGGCACAGGCACCTGTCGGGGGTGGAGGGGTAGGGATGGGGCCGCTGGGAGGGCCCACTCACTGTCCGACGGGCTAGGGGCCTGGGGGACATGCGCGCGGTTTTGATGGCAGGTTGGCGGCCTCTCCCTGTCTAGGAGCTCCATCACGGGCCGGGAAAAAACGTGGGCACCTCCGCTGCTTCCACGTCTCGCTCCCGAGCGCCAGTTAGATAAGACACAAAACAGCAAAGGAAGAGAAAGGTTAAAAAGTAGAGGCAAAAGACAATGTTGGATTCATGAATTCAACTTATTTTTTTAAAACACATTAGCTTCATATTTCTCTAAGTGAGGAGAAAAGGAAGCCAGAATGAGGAGGGAGATGGTCCCAGCCAGAGAGGCAGGAAAAGGAGAGGGGTTTCTCCCTCCCAGGCAAAGGGAGGGATTAAAACTCATCAGCAGGGCCGGCCGAGTGGCATGTTGGTTATTAGATGGCTTGGGACGCCAGCTCTGAGCAGCAGGGCCCCGGTTCGGATCCCACATGAGGGCCGGTGACGCTGCGCCCTCTACAGCTAAGATGGTGAACAACAGCTCGACCTGGAGCTGGGCTGCTGTGAGTCGCCGGCGATGGCGTAGGCTGCAGTGAAGCTGCGGTGGGCTGCCATAAGCTACCGTGAGCAGCTGGCAGCCGGCGTGAGATTCCAAGAGCCACCATGAGCGGCTGTCCAGTGACTGGCGTCTGATCTGCCTCACCCGGGAAGAGCGCAATGATAATACCAACATGGGCCAGTGAAGCGACGTCCTCCACAACTAGACTGAAGAACAAAAGGACAGCAACTTGTCTGCTCCCCTTCCCCGGTTCTCCAACACTGTTCCCCTCCCCCAGTTTCCCAATTAAAAAAAACAATCATGGGCAGGAGCAGGGGGTAAGAGACAAGGCTTTGGTTCACTTTGTTGTGGGGCAGCACTCCCCTCCACTTGCCCGGGTAGCTCAGGTAAGGGGCTGGCGCCCCAGGAAGCCTGCGAGATGCAGGGGCCCGCCCTTTGGAGGTAGCAGCGTAAACCTGCACCGTTGTTGCTCGTACAGAACAAACGATGGGGAGACAAAATTTTTGCTTCCCGCCTCCCTTGGGTGGAAGCGGGAGGGAAAACGGCAAAGCCTGAGTATTAGTAGCAGAGGGGGATTCCGAAGAGCCGTGGCTCTCAGAAACTTCTCAAGAGCCGACGTCGACGGCGAGAGGCTGTCCGTGGGAGGCTGACGTTGGTCCATGCTGCACAGAGCCGGCTGGCCGCACAGACAGGGCCTGGGGAGCCAAGCAGAAGGTTAGGGCCTGGTCCCTGTGCCCCTTTGCGCCAGTTTTGCCTGGAGTTAGATGGCCTCAGGGTAACTTCGCGTGCAGCTACAAGGTGTGATCGAAAAATATAGTGAATGTTTAAATTTTTAAAATTGATTACAGTAAAAGACACATTGCCAATAACCCCCCTCAAAACACTCTCCCTCACATCGAACACACTTATCCATCGTCCTTGCCTCTTTCTGAAGCAGTTCTGGAAGTCCTCTTTCGTGAGCACCCTTACTTCATCCTCTATCATGACAAGGCTTCATGTCACACATCACTTCTGGTATACGGCACCTTCTGTCAAATAAAAACATTACGGCGTGTCCTCACCCAACTTAGTCACTGGATCTGGCACCATGCGACTTCTGGCTCTTCCCCAAAGTCAAAATGACCATGAAAGGAAAACATTTTGAATCAATGCAGGACATTGAGACAGCTACAACAGCACAACTAAAGACGCTCACGAAAGAGGACTTCCAGAACTGCTTCAGACAGTGGCAAGAACGATGGGATAAGTGTATTCAAAGCAAGGGGAATTATTCTGAGGGGGATTAATGGCAATGTGGGTTTTACTATAATAAATATTTTAAGTTTAAACATTCACCGTATTTTTCGATCACACCTTGTATACATGCAGATACGTACACGTCTATTTCTTTAGTGGGACGAGTGTGTGGGAGGCCGCACACTGCCTGGCTGGGTTGGATCCGAGTGCCCTTACCCTGTCGTAGAAGGCCACGTTATTTTTACCCCCAAGCTGAAAATAGAGCCCATGGGTCTGCCTGCCCCGTCCCGCCCGGGACTGCACCGGGCCGCTGGTGCAGCTGCTGGTTGGGTTACTCCAGCTCGGGTTGTTTTGCTTTCTGCCATGATTATGTCATCCAAGTCTCCAAGTTGTACACATGAGAATAACTGGGGAGAAGAGTCCATGGGGACAGTCAGCTGACAGTTTCCCTCTGACAATGCTTGCCATTCACTGGGTGACTGCTGGGTGTGTCCACACAGAACTCGGGGCCAGTCAGGCCTGCCAAGTGGGCAGCAGCTGCCCCGTGCGTGGCTTTAGAAGGACGGCGTCTTGTCACTGTGCACCGGGAGTGTCACTGCTGGTGAGGCACCACAGACAGTTTGAAGTCCTCTGCTTTATGTTGGCAAAAGAGCCCCAGGTGACTTTTCAGTAGCCCACATGTACGCTCAGCATACGCAGCCTCGCTCATGAGTTAACCTGTTGACGTGACTTAGGCTCTGTGCTCAATCAGAATGGTTTGGGTTTGGTTCTGTTCAACCCATGCCTCTGACTTAGGGCCTTGGGCGGGTGCGACTTCTTCGGCACGTGCAGTGCACTCAGTGTCATGAGCCTTGTCCCACAGGTCCTTCACGGAGCAACTCAGAAAGATCTCGAGAGATGCAGGGATGCCCATCCAGGGCCAGCCGTGCTTCTGCAAATACGCGCAGGGGGCTGACAGCGTGGAGCCCATGTTCAGGCACCTGAAGAACACGTACTCCGGCCTGCAGCTGGTGGTGGTCATCCTGCCCGGCAAGACCCCCGTGTACGGTAGGCCTCTGGAAGCCGTCGTGACCTCCGCAGGGGCTCGCTGCAGCCTGACCTCTGTGCTTTTGCCACCCTGAGGAGGCGCCCCTGTCTGGCCTGTCTGTGTGCTAAGAAAGGTGGGGCGGCTCTGGTCACAGCCAAGCACATGCTCAGGCCACCCCCATGGGCTCGTCCGAGGCCACAGCCCCTGAAAGCAAGCACGCATGTGGTTACCTTGTCCGCTGCCCAATATAGGTGCTGGTGGCATGGAGACAGTCTTTCAGAGCACACGGAGTGATGCGCTAGCGGCTATCACTAGTTCCTGCGGGACCTGGTGCTCCACTGGTAATCACTGTGCCCGCCTCAGAATTCTCTGGAAGGTCACCCAAGTCCTTCATGCCAGAGGGCAGTTGCATATTCATTCAGCTCGAATCTACCGAGCCCCTGGGGTGATGTCCCAGCCCCTGGAGAATCAAAGATAAATAAGACAGGCCCTCCATTCGGGCTGCTCTCGGGACAGCGGGGAGAGATGTGGAGACGGCTGATAACAGTGCAGGGAGGACCTGCTGTGTGAGGCTCGTTGGTGGCGCGGGGCTCCCGGTGGGGAAGCGTCGGGAACGAGGACCTGTGGGGCTGGGGGCGCCCTGGGACACGGGAGACAGGGAGATTTGGCTGCTGTTGCCGAGGGGATGCCCGTCTGGGCAGCGCAGAACACGGACGAGGAGAAGCTGTGCTTGCCCTCCCAATGCGGATCCAACAGAAAGAAGGAACGCCATCAGTGCTTCTAGCCTGTTAATATTCTCCCGGGAGCCACCGCGTCTCCCAGGAGCTCACCCAGCCGCTTTATGAAAGAACCGAGAGTAGAGGGTGGGGGCTGAGTTCGCTCTTTGATGTCAGGCTGGCACTGGCTGAGGGTGTGCAGGATTCCAGTGGGTTTATTTTTAACTCCTCAAGCATCTGCTCGTAGCCCTGGGCGTTCCTCACCAGGAATGCCAGACCCTGGGCTTGGGCAGGGTCCTGCCCACACTCGCCCCACCTCCCTGCCGAGTGAGGGTGAGGCTTCTGCAGGTGGAGACGGAACCTGCACCCAAAGGCTCTGACCCCTCCGCCTGCCAGGCACCCTCCTGCCCAGGCTTGGCTGTAGGTGGGGCAGGCAGGCGTGCCTGGAGCAGTGGCTGAGGTCACTCGTGTGCGTACGCCCCTGCGGTTCCAACTGGGGCAGGTGGGACGTGAGGGGCCGCTCAGGGAGGGGTGCTTGCGAGAGCTGTCGCTCATGGGCACCCCCTGTGCTCCACAGCCGAGGTCAAGCGCGTGGGGGACACGGTGCTGGGGATGGCCACGCAGTGTGTGCAGATGAAAAACGTGCAACGGACCACACCGCAGACGCTGTCCAACCTCTGCTTGAAGATCAATGTCAAGCTGGGAGGCGTGAACAACATCCTACTGCCCCAGGGGAGGTAAGGCCGGCCCTCCCGCCAGGTGGGCCTTAGCTGCGATTCCGCGGAGTTAGCCGTCACCTGGAGAGTGTCCACTGAATTGATTAGGAGGCAGAGTAGTCGCGTGGAAAGAACTGGAATTCAGAGCCTGGCAGGCTTGACCTTGGGTGCTGACTGTGTGGTGAGGGGTCACTTGAGTCACTTAGTTCATGGGGGTAAATGAGGACCTGTCACAAGCAGGTGGTGAACTGAAAGCGCCCTTCGCTCAGTCAGCAGGTTCTGTGTTTATTGAGTGCCTACTGTGTGCCAGTTCAGGCAATAGCAGTGAGCAGTGGGACCAAAGCCCTAGCCCTCTAGTGGAGGGACCCAGACGAGCAGGTCCATGAACGCATCACGTGTGACTTTTCAGGTGAGCAGCAGCGACGCAGTGAGACAGGAGCTCAGGAGGGTGAGGAGCCGGGGTTTCCATGGTGAGGGTCTCGCAAAGGTGGCAGGCGGCAGGCACCGAGGACGTGAGCGTGTGGGTTCCCGTGAGCAGAGCCTGCCAGACAGGCCACGGGCCGTGCGAGAGTCCTGCCCGGGGGGCTGGGAGCTGTACCGAAGGGGCCGGGGCGCCCTCGGGCAGGAGGCAGCCACTGGAGGCTCCTGAGTGAAGATGGGGGCCGTCCGACCCTGTTGCAGAAGGCACCTCAGTGCCAGGTGCAGCGGGGACCCCAGGTTCCTGCGTTATCCCAGGAGGGGCTGGTGGCAGAGCTGGGCGTGGGGCGTCCAGAGTTGGGGACGTTTGAAGATGAAGCTGCAAGGCTGGGTGACAGGTGGGTTCTGAGCTGTGAGTGAAAGAGGAAAATCAAAGACCAGTGAGTCCCAGGCCCTCATCCTTCGCCTCCGGGGAGAGAAGCCAGCGTTTGCAGATGAGGCAGCCTGGAGGGGGCTCCCGGGGGTGGTGGGGGGAGTGGGTTGGCCTTCCTTGGCCTCCGAGGGGACATAGGAGCCTGGTGTTGGGGATTTAGGCTCAGGGGTCCTCCGCATAGAGGGGGTACTAAAGCCTCGAGGCTGGTGAGATCCCTCAGGGGGAGGGGGAGATAGAGAGGGTGTCAGAGTCCTCTCCCCTAGGAAGTCCAGGGCTAAAAGGTTGTGGAGGTGAGGAGTGAGCCAGCAGTGCAGCCTGAGCAGGGAGGCGAGAGGACAGAGGAGCAGGTCCTGGACCCCAAAGGCAGTGTGTTCCGTCACGGTGGCTGACGGACCAAGGATTATGAGGTCTTAGGCTCGACCCTGGGGCTGGGCGACATGCAGGTCGTTGGTGACTTGGCAAAGAAGAGTCTGGTTGCCATGGCAGCATGATGCCTGATTGGGAGGGGCCTAAGAGCATCTGGAGGTCGTAAATGGTTCAGCTAATTCCCTGAGCTTTGCCCAAGGTGCTCACCAGGTGAACAAGGGGTTTGAGGAAGCGATGGTAGGAGACAGGAGCCCAAGGTCGGTGTGGTTCTGCCTGTTTGGGGGCTGAGTCAGGCCTGTGGATACCCCTGGGAATGACCCAGAATTGGGGCCGGGAGCAGCAGGTGAGAGCTGCGGGATCTGGGGGTTCAGCGCAGGATGGGCAGGCAGTGCGTGAGCACTGTTTTGGGGAGTCCAGGTGCTGCGATCCTGCAGCCTCGTCACTGGTGCTACTCTCGCCATCGGGGGAGTGAGACAGGTGGGCGCTTCAGGTTTAAAGGTAGTGGCAATAGGATGCCATCCGAGGGCTCCCTGAAGCTCACAGTCAGGAGGGTGAGGCAGGGCTCCTCAGCTCGGTCGTGGGCAGTGTCCCCTCCCAGCCCATCCCCTTCTGGACAAACACGATGGTGACAGTGACACAGGGAGTATCTAGTGCCTGCAGCCACCACGCTTGGGAAGGGCGTAGCGAGCAGCCTTCCGATGCCTGCCCGGGTGTGGGTTGAACCTCGCTGGGGATTGAGGGAGCGCTTGTCCCCATTTGCGGACACTGACGTGGCATACATGCTGGAAGGCAGAGCTGGAGCGTGCAGACCCCTCCCACCCCCACCCGCTGTGCACACTGCCCCTGGGGAAGGTGATGGCCGCAGGACAGTGGCGTTTAAAAGACTGGTGCGGGGAAGCTTGGAGCAGAGCTGCTCGGCTGGGGCGGTGTGGCCTCCGGGAACGTGTGGCCATGTCTGGAGACATTTTTAGAGCCAGGACTTGGGGGTGCCACTCACTGCATCCAGTGGGTAGAGAGCCAGGATGCCCAAGCACCCGGGAGACACCCTGGACGAGTGTGCCTGCAAGTCCAAGGCTGAGGAGCAAACCGCGGGACGTTTTTGTTTTTGTGTAATTATTTTGGAAATTTTCAAGTGTGTGCAAAGGTAGACCCCTCACCTCCCTGACCCCGGCCTCAGCGGCTGGCAGCAGCACCCGACCAGTCTGGTTTCGCCCACGCTCCACCCTGCACGCTCCCCCTCACTGGGTTCTTCCAAAGCAGACATCAGACCTTGTGTTGTGTTTCTGTAAGGTTTTCTCTGTGTGTCATTAAAGACAAGGGCTCTTTAAGAGCATAACCGCAATACCCTCATCACACAAGCGACAATGGTGCCAGTACCCTCGGAGGTCCAGGCAGCGTCCGAGCCTGGGTCTCTAATGCTCCCGCTTTCCTCCGCAGGCCTCCAGTGTTCCAGCAGCCCGTCATCTTTCTGGGGGCCGATGTCACTCACCCACCCGCTGGGGACGGGAAGAAGCCTTCCATCGCTGCCGTGAGTGTCAGCGCTTCCTGCTGGGCCCTCTGTGGGTGACATCCCTTCTCGAGCTGCCTGTGGGAAGGGACACGTCCCATTGCAGCCATCTGGCCAGTTTCTTCCTGGAAAGCATTGAGGTTTAACTAAAGTGCAGTTGTGAGGTCAGAGTCTCTTGGAAAATAGGTATCTGTGGGGACACTAAAACAGCAGTGCGTTGTGTGAGCTGGCGCTGCCCAGAAAGCCCCAGGCCAGATGCGTCAGCATCAGAGGCCTCCTTTCAGGGGTCTCTTGTCCTGCGGGGCCTCAGCTGCAGCTCAGGTCGAACCTGATGGCTTCACGGCCCCTGGGCAGGTGCTGCCTCTCATTTCAGACATTTTCTGTTTTTTACTATAAAATGCTGAATGTGAAAAGATGAGACAGTCTAGAGGTAAATATCCATCTTTATTGAACCCCCCTGTCAATCTCCTAACGGCGACTTACTAACTGTTTGTAATAGTAAGCGTGGGCGCCGGCTTGAGCCGTAGCCCTTTCCCTCGTTCTAACTGGGTGAGTTGTGTCCGCGGGTGGGGGGTTTGGCTGCCTTCGTTTCACAGGCGGTCACGGTGCCGACCACCTGGCCGTCTGTCCCTTCCCTCGGAGGCTGAGCTGCACCCACAGTTACTGTTCTCGTTCTCGAGGACCACACAAGCACGTGCTCAGCAGTGTGCACTTAAACGTGGCGCGCAGGCTGCGGCCTCAAACAACCTGGTACACAGCGTCTTGCCCTCGGCCTCAGGCTCCTTCGGGTTGGCACCTTCGGACAGCCCCTTGCAGGCCAGCTTGCCTCGGGGAGCCTCTGCCATTGCCAGGCTCAGAATCGGGGGGTATTGTGGGTTGGTGTGCAGATGGCTTCTTTGAGAAAGCAGTGTGCTTGGGAGGAAACGAGGGAAGCTGTCACCAGGTGGCTTCTTCGGGCTGATGTAATTCAGCCACACCTGAGCACAAGCGGACAGAAGTTGGGAATGATCACCTGCTTTTTATTAGGCACTTTGAGCAAGCTTTTATTCTTTAAGGTATTTATAAACGCTTTTGCCACATACCCAAGAGCAGAAAGGTAGCGGGTTGCCATCTGACAAGTTTGCCTTGATGGGGAGTTCAGGGTGGAGACGCCTCTGCCCTGTCATTGGTCCGGCGTGCACCCAGAGCCAGGAGCTCTTGACAGACACTCAGTCGTGCCCCAGCAGGTCGTGGGCAGCATGGACGCGCACCCCAATCGCTACTGCGCCACCGTGCGGGTTCAGCAGCACCGTCAGGAGATCATCCAAGACCTGGCCGCCATGGTCCGTGAGCTGCTCATCCAGTTCTACAAGTCCACACGCTTCAAGCCCACCCGCATCATCTTCTACCGCGACGGCGTCTCCGAAGGGCAGTTTCAGCAGGTGGGCACCCCTGTTAGCGTTCTTTCTCTCTCTCTCTCTCTCTCTCTCTCTCTCTCTCTCTCTCTCTCTCTC